TGGTGTTCAGCCATTGACCAAATTTCCACATTTATTTTATATAATACTGAGTCACTAACTTTGTGTGTGTGTGTGTGTGTGTGTGTATATATATATATATATATATATATATATATATATATATATCACTGTCCTCCCGTTGTTCATCTATTTGCTCAAGCAGGTAGCAGTAACGTCTCCGTTGTGAGACTTGTTACTGTTTTTGGCATATCGAACACGCCATGGATACCTTGCCAGACTCTTCTATGTGGGCAAGATACTCTCAGTAGCTTGCCTGGCTCTCCAAGAGGGAACAAGGAATCAAACCAGGGCCAGCCACGTGCAAGGAAAACTCCCTACTCAACAACAACAAAAAACCCATTAACGTCATAATTAAGCACAACTATTTCTCCCTACTTGCTGTGCTATTGCTCCAGCCCACTCTGGATATTCATAAGGAATAAATATTTAAATAACAAAATAATCTAAAAAGCCACAGAAAAACAGGATTTTATTTTATACATTTGTTTTGGGAGGTACCATTATTTACAAATGTTGACAAGACAGTCTCAGGCCTACAATGTTACAGCTCCAATATTACAACCTGTAAAAGCATAGTACTGAAAATTTTTGTCATTTAGAAGAGAGTACCTGGGGCTGGAGCGATTGTAGAGCTGGTAGGGCCTTTGCTTTGCACGTGGCTGACCCAGGTTCGATTCCCAGAATCCCATATGGTCCCCTGAGCACTTCCAGGGGTAGTTCCTGAGTGCAGAGCCAGGAGTAACCCCTGTGCATCACCGAGTGTGACCCAAAAAGAAAAAAAAGAAGAGTATCTATGGAGGTATAGTTATGTAAGAGATAATTTGATGTTTGGATGATTTGATATTATATTTTAATTTTTTTATATTATGAGATGTTAGTACTTTGTCTTCTGAAATATATTCTTCATGTTTTAAGTTTAAGCTAATATTAGACATTTATCGAAATATTTAAATTTTTTAACTATTTTCCTTTTCATTATGTGTCCTAATTTGTTTTATGTAAATTATCATGTCATATGTAAATAATTATATTCTCTTTGTCTTCTTACCATTTACACTCAATGGTTTATTTTTCTTGCCTAATAGTTGTGGCAGGCTGGAGCGATAGAACAGTGGGTAGGGTGTCTGCCTTGCACATGGCCGACCCAGGTTGAATTCCTCCGCCCCTCTCAGAGCGGGGCAAGCTACCAAGAGTATCTCGCCTGCACAGCAACACCAGGCAAGCTACCTGTGACGTATTCAATATGCCAGAAACAGTAACAAGAAGTTTCACAATTTGTTGTGAGACGTTACTGGTGCCCACTTGAACAAATCGATGAACAATGGGAGGACAGTGACAGTGACAATTGTTGTGGCAAGAAATTGAGAGTACACTAATTACAGATTCATAAAGGAAACATTTTTGTTTGGTGCCTGATTTTATCAGAAATCTTTAAATCTTTTGCAGTCAATTACGATAAAAGAACATGGTATTAGAAGAAAATTCATTAAATATGTATTAGGTAAACATATCCGGAGCTGTTCAGCATGTGAACGCCAAAAAGCCATCAATTATTTGAAAATGATAGCAAAAATAATTAAAAATAATGGTAATAAAATGAACTACAATAAATTAAAAATGGTTATAGAAACCATAGCCAAAAAAATAGCACTTGTTGAAATTAAAAGACACCCTATACAATATATGAAAATATTTGCACTAATAATTCAGCTAAAGGCTAATACTCAAGAGTAAAAAGAAACAAAAATCTCATTAAAAATGATGAAAAAGATAGACACTTCCCTGAAGAGGTCAGTCATACAGAAAACCCACAGACATGAAAAAGTGCTCATTGTCTTCTGATATCAGGGAAATGCAAAAAAATATTTTAAATAAATAAAATAACAGAGATAACATGTCACATTTGTGACAGTGTCATATATTTCAAAATTTTGGAATGACCAGTGCTATGAAACAGGAATTCTCATTCACAGTTGGTTGGAATGTTGTCAGCTCCAGTGTCTATGGAAAGTATTATGAATATTTCTCAAAGCAGTAAAAATAAGCCTCCAATATGATTCAGAAATTCAACTTATGGACATCTGCCCCACCCAACCAAAAAAAGAGACATTAACATGATAATTAAGCACAACTATTTCATTTCAATGATTAGTTCAATAGCCAGGGCTTAGAAACAACCCAAATGCCCAATAAGAGAAGAATGGATACACATGTTATTATATCAATAATGCAATACTGTGCAGATGATAGAAAAAATGAAATCAGACAGCTGGCTGCAATGTCAATGGAATTGGAACGTATATAAATGAATGAAGTCAGAGGGTAAATGAAAAATACTGATGTTCTCACTCCTCTGTGGTATACAGAAAGATAGGCCAAGGTTGTGGAATAATATTGGAGTGGATGGAACAATGAGAAACCCTTGGTCTTTCTTGCTTTGCAAAACTCAGATTACCAGAAAGTGGGGAAGAGATGGAGAAGGAAAAGGCAGATTACATGTCATATAGGGACAGTAGAGGGTCTGGGATACTTTGCTTGGATACTTCGGTGAGGCACAGTAAATTTGTACATTGTGCTTTAAAGTTTAATACTTGATATAAAACTATAACCATGTTACCAAATCTATAATATAATAAAGTTTCTAAAAAACTATATAACCCCCTTGCTTAATTAGCAATAAATACACAATGAAGCTATTCTTCCAGTAACTAGGTATGGTAATTAAAATCACTTCAACAGAAAAATGTGTTGCAAGAGAAAACCCCATAGTATGGCAAGTTTGGACTCCAGGGTATTGCACAGAATTGCCAATACCCAGAGCACCCAGGATCTCTGCTGCTGACAAAGGCACTTTCCACCTAACCCCCAATGGCCAAAGGATTGAAAAGGACTCGTGTTTTCCTCTCCGCAGACTACATTCTAGTGAAAGGAACTGAGTGGCAGAGCTATGACTTCCATCTGAGTGTCAGCTTCTGAGCCTGACAGCTCGTCCCTATGATGAGGTAAGAAATTTCAGGTGTGTTCTGGTGACACTCCTTAGGTTGTAAAAAACAGGCTATGTAGAAAATGGAATGTAAATAAAATACCGATTTTGAGGGCATAAAAAGATTCATATGTTTACTTGAGAAATTTAAATAAAAATACACAAGTAATCCTTTTAATTAAAAATCACTGTCATATTGTTCTTCATCGATTGCCTCCAGCAGGTCCCAGTAACGTCTCCTTCGTCCTAGACCTGAGATTTTAAGAAGTGCCACCTTTGAGGCTCTACCAGGGTCAGGAGAATGAGACCCATCATTGTTACTGATTTTTGGCATATTGAATATGCCACGGGGAGTTTTCCAGCCTCTGCCATGTGGGCAGGATACTTTTGGTAGCCTGCCAGGTTCTCCAGAGTAAGAACCACATAATAAGGTGTAGCATGGCCGTAAATGCGGCCACGCACTTCTGGGAGCAGGGTTTTATAGTCTCTGGGTCTTGGCTGTTGATTGGAATACATGGCACCGGGGGCAGTTGGTGGGTGTAACGCCTACATACTGGAGTGGGGGATCTGGGTGGAGGAAACCCCGGTCCCAATCCAAGCGGGCTTGAAGATCTTATTAAAAATAGGGAGAGAAATCCCTTCCAGTGCAGAAACATTTTGTTGAGATAAAACTATCACTTACATCTGTATTAATCCCTTTTAATTCTAGGGTGTGAGGGTGCAGTGTTGCTGGGTCCTCCAGTGCCAGGGAGCAACTCTGCTCCCCCAGAAGTGCTCATGGACCTCAGGACCAGCAATGCTTTTGGAGGAGGCATGTGACACCAGGGACCGAATAAGGACTAATCTCGTCCTAATTTGATATTGAAGGATCTAACCTGTTACATGAAGGCAAACTCTCAGCTCCATACCTACACCTTTATTTCCTTGGGAATATTTTGTTTTCTTTGAGGGAGGGTAGAAACTACCCAATATGTGTTCAGGCGAGCCCTGGGCCAATCCCTTGATATTCTGCTAAACAGACAGGCAGTTCAGAGCTCCGAGGTACCCCCAGCCCACCCTGGGGTTTCCTGCCATGCTGAGGATGAAGGGAACCATATATAATATAAAAGATAAGATAAAGATAAGATTTGAGCGATAGCACAGCGGGTAGGGCATTCGCCTTACAAGCGGCCAACATGGCCGACCCGAGTTCGATTCCTCCGCCCCTCTCGGAGAGCCCGGCAAGCTACCGAGAGTATTCGATATGCCAGACACAGTAACAACAAAGTCTCCAATGGAGACGTTACTGGGCCCGCTCGAGCAAATCGACGATCAACGGGAGGGCCTTTATCTTTATCTTATCTATATATAATATAAAATAACAAAATTTCTAAAAATGTACATAACTTCCTTGCTTAATTGGCAATAAAGACACAATGAAGCTATTCTTCCAGTAACTGGGTGTGGTAATTAAAATCACTTCAACAGAAAAATGTGTTGCAAGTCTGGCAGTACTCGAGGGTCCCCAGGGGTCACTGACAATGCTCAGAAGCTGCCTGGTGCAAGGGATGAAATACAGGTAGGGATAAGAGCGTGTTTCTATGCAGAAATCTCAGGCTTTCTCCTCTCTTCTCTCAGCTGGTTCTTAGAAACCCCTAAAAGAGAGCTGAGAATGGCCTGCAGCATCACCAGGAGTGTCTATAACCAAACAAAAACAAAAGCATAAAATTATTTTGGGTACTTGAAAGCCTACGACTTAACCTCTGAACTCTATAACCGACCCTTTTGTCATTTTTTTTCCTGTTTGAAACTGAAATGGAAATTTTAACATTTAAAATCTTCATAGTCAATGTTCATTCCTTTCACAAAGACAATGTAAATTTGTCAGTATGCCTAGCACTACGTAAAACATTTATGTGTAATGTAAAAGTTCTTCACTACTTATTCAGGTTCTTCATTGATGCTATGCAAGAAAACTATTAAAGATTGTCTATGATATCTTGCAGCCAACAGCAGAACTATGACAAACTTTACCATGAGCGGGTTTCTTCTCCTGGGGTTTTCTGTCAAGCCTGAGCTAGAAATCTTCTATGCTTCCCTGTTCCTAGTCCTGTACTTGTTGGCTTTAACTGGCAACATGCTCATCATCACCACAACTTCCCTGGATGACAGTCTCCAGTCCCCCATGTATTTCTTCCTGAAGCATCTCTCCTTGCTGGATCTCTGCTATATTTCTGTGACCGTACCGAGATTCGTTTACAACTCTTTCATGCATAGTGAAACTATTTCTCTCTTGGAATGCATCGTGCAGGTCTTTGCTTTCACTCTCTGTTGCTCTGCTGAGGTGTTCATGCTCACGGTTATGTCCTACGACCGTTATGTGGCCATCTGCCTTCCCCTGCGCTATGATGTCATCATGGATGTCAGAACCTGCGTCCATGGAGTCACCGGTGTCTGGGTCAGTGGGACCATCTCTGGAGTCATGCATGCGGCTGCTACTTTCTCCATCCACTTCTGTGGCCCCCGCGTCATTCACCAGTTCTTCTGTGATGTTCCCCAGATCCTGAGGCTCTCCTGCTCCAATGAGTATCTGGGTGATGTTGGTGTCACTGCATTTGTGTCTCTGCTGGCATTTCTTTGTTTCTTGTTTATTGGATTCTCCTACATGCACATATTTTCGTCTGTACTGCGCATGCCATCTGCAGAGGGCAGAGCCAAGGCCTTTTCCACTTGCCTCCCCCACCTTGTTGTGGTCATATTGTTCTTTTCTACTGGTGCCTTCGAGTATTTCAAGCCTCATTCTGAATCTCCAACTGCTCTAGACGTTTTTCTTACTATTCTTTACACAGTTGTTCCCCCAACATTCAATCCAGTGATCTATAGTCTGCGAAATAAAGCTATCAAGTCGGCTATAAGTAATGTTTTTCAAAGAAGAGTAGCAGATCTCTTTTGTTAAGACACTTCAATTCATTCTCAATTGTGAGAAAAATTCAAAATATTATGGGTTTTAATCAATCAAAAAGTTAAAATTGCAACTAACTTGTGATTTATACAACTTTTTCTTTGTGCTACTTGAATAATAAACTTGCTTAGACCCAGGACTATATACGTAGTACTTCAAAATTACTCCTGTGAGTATCTTAACTTAAATCTTACTACACAAAACAGGTGTGAAAACAATGAAAGTTTGATCATGTTTGAGATGTCAACTTAATTTCTTTTCCTAATCATTTTGTGTGATGATGATGGAAAATATCATATATAGGATTGATTGCTCATTTGTTTATACATAAAATACATTTGTGTCATTGGACATTTCTTTAAAATTATATGCAATAATGTATAATATAAGACTTGACAAAAATTTGTTATAATTATTAGTATTTTTGACTCCTCAGTCTTCTAATTTCATCGCTGTTTTAAAACTTTTGATACCTTAAGTTATATGTAGTATATTTAGTCTTAAAGGAAAAGGTAAAGGCCCTCCCGTTGATCGTCGATTTGCTTGAGCGTGCCCAGTAACGTCTCCATTGGAGACTTTGTTGTTACTGTGTCTGGCATATCAAATACTCTCGGTAGCTTGCCGGGCTCTCCGAGAGGGGCGGAGGAATCGAACTCGGGTCGGCCATGTTGGTCGCTTGTAAGGCGAATGCCCTACCCGCTGTGCTATCGCTCCAGCCTTAATAGTGATTATATCATTACTGGAAAAAAGTGTTATATAATCATTCTTTTTTGCATGTTAATTTTTTAATGTACTTTTAGCATTTGCTTATGGCTTTTGCTACTGTACTAATTTTGAATAAGCTTAGGTTTCCTCAGTTATGGTTTTCATTAATTAATTTTTTAAATTACTTAGTAGAGTGAAAGAGGTAGTACAGTGAGTAAGGCTCTTGGCTTGCATCCAGTCAACCCCCAGATCTACATACAGAAATCCCAAACAAAACTCCTACTGTTTTAAGTCTTCTGTTAAATAAGTTGATCTGGCCAGAAGTGTAGCAGAAATGTTGTTAAGAATATCTAAGTAGCTATGACACAGAAATATGAGTTGTCTATGACTAAGATATGTAGTAATACCAATAAAATTTCAAACTTTTCATAGTCCGGTCATAAAATTATCTATATTTTAATTTTGAATAGATTTATGCCTTTGAATTTGATTTTATTATAGAAGATACGCTAAAAATTTTCATCTTGCTTTGCCCATATTTTTAACTTACAGAAATCATCAGAAACTCTGATGTCATTATGACTGCACTCAACTTATCAATCGTTCTAAAATTTATAATGAGGAAATGTGAACCTGACTTCTCCTTACCAGATTTTATTCAGTAGCGTATACTGTACTTCACAAAATTTTCTCTTGAAGAGTTCCTATCTTCATCTGAGCCCAAGATCAGCTAAAAATTATGAATGACTATGGCGAATGGCACTGCTAGTGGTTTTTTTCTCATGGGTTTTCTGCCAAGCCTGAGCTAGAACTCTTCTATGCTTGTCTGTTCTTAGTTCTGTACTTGTTGGCTTTAGCTAACAACATGCTCATCATCACCACAACTTCCCTGGATGACAGTCTACAGTCCCCCATGTATTTCTTCCTGAAGCATCTCCCCTTGTTGGATCTCTGCTATATTTCCGTGACTGTGCCGAGATTCATTTATAACTCTTTGATGCATAGTGGAAACATTTCCCTCTGGGAATGCATCGTGTAGGGCTTTGCTTTTGTTTCCTTCCCTGCTGCTGAGCTGTTTATGCTCACGATGATGTCCTACGCCCCTGAAAGAAATTCCACTTTCACGCGTAGTGGAAATACTTCCCTCTGGGAATGTGTGGAGCAACATTTTACTCTCATTCTCCATGCTATTACGGAGATGGCCATACTTGTGCTGCTGTCCTAGGACCGCTACATGACCATCTACCTTCCAGTGAGCTATGACATCATCATGAAAGACAGAACCTGTGCCCATGAGGTTGTCGGCATCTAGATCAGTGGGGTCTTCTCTGGAGTCATGCATTTGGCAGCCACTTTCTCCATCCACTTTTGTGGTTCTTGTGTCCTTCACCACTTCTGTGATATCCCCCAGCTCCTGAAACTCTCCTGTTCTGATGACTGTAACAGGGAGATTGGGGTCTCAGTCTCCTTCACTCTGTTGTCATTTGGCTGTATCATCTTTATTGGTTGCTCCTACATGCAAATATTTTCCTCTGTACTGAGGGTGCCATCTGCTGAGGCAGATCTAAGGCTTTTTCCACTTGCCTTTCCCACCTTGCTTTGTCATTTTATTTGCTTCTACGGGTTTCATTTATAACTCTTTGATGCATAGCGGAAACATTTCCCTCTGGGAATGCATAGTGCATAGATTTTGAAAAATAGGTTTTAAAATTAAGTTTTTAAAACCTCATTCTGACAATCCAACAGCTCTTGACATTGTGCTCACCTTTTTTATACTGTTGTGCTCCCAACATTCGATCCAATGATCTATATAGCCTGGGAAATAAAGCAATAAAAGCAGTCTTAGAATGGTTTTTAAGAGAAGTAAAGCATACCTTTTTTTTGACCCATGTCTATTTAGTCTGGCTTGAGAGACGAACCCAAAATTATACTGTGTAGCATAGCACTCTGGACACTGTGAATAAGTATAGAACTGGTTATAGAGAAAACTGTGTTATGAGAAATATATTGTATGCTTATATTGTCTACAATAAAATATTTGAAAATATACCTCTTTAGACATTTATAGGTTTGACATTGTTTTGGGGACCACACTCAGCTATACGCAGGGCTTACTCCTGACTCTGTGTTTTCAGGGATTATACCTGGTGGTGCTTGGGAGACCGACTGGGGTACTGAGGATTGAACATGGGTTGACTGTATGCAAGGGAAGTGCCCAAGTCAATTTATATTCTCTCTGACCCTGTATTATTTTCTATGACCTATTCTTTATGATGGTGTCCTGTGCCTTGGTTTTGAGGTCACCCATTTAATTTTCTGCTTCTTTCATTCTGCCACTGTTGAGTCCTTTCACTATATTCCTTAGCACCTTTATATCTCTTTGGATTGTTAGGTTTTTTATTTGAGTTTTCTTCATTTATTGAATTTCTGTTTCAACTCTTTCCTCAGTTCAGTAAACAGCAAGAAGATTGATGTAATCCATGGGTTGCATTGAACTTTCTGATGTACTTGAGGATTTCCATTCCTATACATACAAGTAGATGATCCTTTCAGTGGTCTTCTTTTTAAAATCATTACTGGTATTTTGTGCGTACTAATGGTTAAGCTAACTCCCAGTGGTTTAGTCACCAACCAGTTCTCTTGTTTATAGTATCAGTCTAGAGTTTAACTTGTTGTCTCTGGCAGTTAGGGCAGCCATGTTATTTTTTTTTTCTCAGCAGAACTTGTGAAATGACACTAGGTCTCAAGCTCTAAGCCAGTAAGTTTAGGGACTGGCCGATGCCGATGTGAGTCCTCAAAAGTTCACCTGGAGGAACTAGCAAGCAAAAGGTACACTTTTGGAGGGAAGTGGTTTGTATTACACTTGGGGTGCTCAGGGCTTAAAGTGAAAGTCAGGCAAAAATATATTCTAATTGCAACATTTGAAGCGTTTTGCTTAATGTAAAAAGATACATTAATAATAGCAATAAAGAAAGATTCTTAAAGCTTGAATATTTATGATGAACAATGCTAAGTAGAATATTAAAAGGTATATCATTTATTCTAATAAAACATTTAGGTGGGTTTAGTATGCAATTCTAATTACGTGAAAACTGAACTTGAGAGGGGGTAAATAATTTGTATGAGTCATGTTACTATTAAATTGCGAAGTAGGATATCATACTATATCACTAGTATGCAAATGTTATTTTTTAATTTATTTTAAATGAATTATTTTTATAAGGTTGTGTATGATTTATTATATTCAATTATCAAACTAATGCCACCACCAGTAGGTAGAAAATATTGTAATTCTATTATTATCCCTAATCCTACTCCTAATCTAAACCCCATCCTAAATTTGAGGAGTGGTAAAAATTTTTGGTTCTGAGGAAAATTGTTCAAAAATTTATATTGATTTAAAAAAAACAAAATATAAAATCATTTCTCTGGGTCTAGACCAGAGAGGATGGGAAACAGGCAGAAGGAAATGGAGAAGGAAAGAATGAGACAGAGAGAGACAGAGACAGAGAGAGATAGAACAACTACATTTTTCCCTTTCCCCCTCTCTTTCAATAAAAATTATTTAGCTCTTTCTTCCACACAGAAAAGTATGTTTATGTTCAATAATATCTTTTGATACTTTGTTCATAAAAATCAACTGAGCATATATTATTAGTCTAGGTCCATTTTAGTGCAATATCTTTTTTGTATAAGTAGAGGAAGACAGTTAATTCTATGCCTTTGTAAATTGTGAGTTTATCAACTGCCAGAAATATTTACTCCTGGGCATCTGTCATATTTACTCGATTTAAGCCTCAGCTGTTGTTAGTTGGAAGGTCCTGATGAAGGAATTGGATGGAACCAGGGAAAGTTATAAGTTACCCTGGCATCAAAAACGGATAGGCCACGTGTCAAAAAACTTATGAGTTAAGAGCAAGGATATGGACAAACTCTGTCATGTTCAAATAGACTGAATAGGGACACTGCTGCGTTAGGAAAGACTAATCTGACCTAAGAACAGTAGTCTGGAATATATAGCAAGTTGTCCCCAGATGTCCCCAGGAAAGCCACCATTTAAGATTAATATATCTCTTAATCTTTACAGACAAAATGACTAATATTATTAAGTAAATTTAAGATGACTATTTAAATGGATATAAATTAAGGAATCTGGCTGCGGGCAATCAGATCTGAGGGCGATCTGGATGCGACATCTGTCACCCCATTGATTGCCAGGGTTGATTCGGCTGATCTGGCTGATCTGGCGGGGGTCCCCTTCCTCCCTCACCGCTGCATGTGAGTCCCTC